CCGGCGCTGGTCTCCGGGCCTCCCAGCTTCCCCTGCCGCAGCCCAGCAGGACCCCTGGCCTCTCTGCCCTCTGGTACCACCGCCTGCCCCATCTTGCACAAACACATCCCTGACAGGCCTTCCTCCTGCTCCGCTTCCATGCTGCAGAGACCAGTGCTCACACAAGCTGCGGTTCCTAAAGCTTTCCTTTGCTTGAAGTTTCCAATTACAATCTTGTTTTCCCTTGGCAAGCTAGAAATGTCCTCCAGTGGTATTAACCAACCTTCTCGGGTAAATCTACGACAACCGCCATCCACAAACAAGTGTCCTTGCATAGATTCCAGGGAGGCAAATTAAAGTAGGCTTGGATCGCCACCATTTTTGCTGGCCACATACGGTATTTTATTACTAGTTTCCCGTCCCAGTTGGCATAGATTGTATACAAACATATAGATTGTAGGAAATGTGGAGGGTGAGCAGGCTTCAGGCAGGTGATGTACTGTGGGAATTGTAAATGTTCTGATTCTTAAAGATTTATTCATTTTTATTAAGGTATTTTAACTAAAGTCTTTCCATTTGAATACATTCCTGAAATCCCACCTTAAGCACAATGTACCTGACATAAAATTCCACAGCACAGAAATAAATTTTTATGGTATGCAATTTAATGATATAATAGTTTGCCATGATTTCACTGCCATTTATGGCTTATTTCAGTAAACCCAGGATTTAAGTCACCTAGCTTTTCAAAGGCACCTGACAGGATTTAGTGTACTACAACCTTAATCATGCTTCAGTGTAACTTTTTCCCTAACTCACTTTGTAGCTGTGTGTTTGTACACACTCCCTGCCATTCCAAATGTAATGAAAACTTACGGAACGAAATAGAAAATCTGCTTGTCTTAAAACATTTTCTTGCTGAAATACCTGAATGTGTCACATTAAGAAATTGTGTTTATCTCTATATTGTTTCCGGTTGAGGCAGGAAAACGTTGCCCCAAAATTTATTAAAAGCAGGTCTAAGTCAGAGATGTGGAATTCTTTGCCCAAAGCTGTATAAAGTCTCTAACTGAGCCTCTCTCCCAGGTTGGAGGTGAGTAATTAAATAAGCTTCATGCCTATGTATTCCAGTAGTATAATAATAATTAGCTCTTAGATATTTGTCTATACCAGCAGATCTCAAATGCTGCTGTAAGTGGCTGTCATCATTATTGCTCTTTTACAGGTGGCCCTGAGGACCTTGAGCAACCCAGTGATAAAGCAGGAGTGGAATTGTACGTTTCCTAAATGCCAACTTATCTTCTTGGCCAAGGTCTCTTCCCGGTCATAGGGCTAGGTGACATCTGGTGAAGGGAAGTACAAAGATAACAATATAAGGTTTTGTACTTTTCTATCGATTTAACTGGGGAAGAGTTATCTCTGTTGAAATAAAATTCTTTGAAAATGCAGTCTTGTATTAAGAATATTGGAAAATGTTAGATTGCTGTTTCTTTGGAACCGATGTCATATGGTATAACAATCCAGCAAAGTAGAAAATTTCACTTTCCAGTGAGTATCCCTCAGCTCATTGTAAAACTTCCATGGCCATCCTGCTACTAAATTTGAGAGTCTGTATCCTAATGGGGGGGCACAAATATAACAGGCTGTGGGCTGTATAATGTCACCCAAGGAGAAGTAATGGTCTGTTTGCACTTGAATATTTAATGAAGTTCATAAATTCATAGTTGTTTTGAACATAAATGTTAATTGTCAAAGCAGATATTTAAATGATTGTTATCACTATACTGGTGTAAAGCATAGTTTAAAATAAAAACATTTCACAGCATTTGCTGTGTAAGGTTTGGATGTTATTTATTTTTCTCTTCTTTTATTTTTTACTTACATCTGTTGTAAGAGTATGATTAGACAATTTGAATTATATGGATCAGACTACATGTAAATCATAGTGTTACATTGAAAATAAGAGGTGAAGACCCTGAAAAGATAGAGAACTGACCTTCTGCATAATTTCAGTTAATATTAGTAAGAGATTAAAAAAAAATCAAAATTGTTGGAAACTTAAAATTATTGGATGTCTGTATGTATTATTTCTCTGCAAATGATGGCATACAGACAAGTAAAATTATGTTAATACAGTTAGACACTGAAGCCAAACTTGATGTTTTTAATTTTCTGTGTTACATACCCTTCTGCAGTCCACTCTGAAAACCCCCAAAAATACAGTAATAATGATTTTATCCACCCTTCATTAAATTCTAGACCAGGCAGGTTCTTGAGGCTGTTGAGAGGCCATGTATGCATAATACACAAAGCAATGTGTTGGAAATGTGCTAAAAGCTGTTACTGAAACAAGAGGACACAGTCTACCAGATTGAGAGAGAAATGTGAACATGTAGTACTAGTTAGCGGTGTTATTTTCATAGCATACTTTCTTACTAACTTTATATCACGGTCATGGTGGTCGTTAGTAAGACCTCACTCTTCATTTGTAAATGGTCTGCATGTGCGTTTTCCCACCCCCTTATCAGATGTTTTCTTTGTGTTTTTTAGATCATGGGGAATTCATATGCAGGGCAACTAAAATCTGCCCGTTTTGAAGAAGCTCTTCATAACTCTATAGAAGCTTCTCTGAGATGTAGCAGCGTTGTCCCACGGCCAATCTTCTCACAGCTGTACCTGGATCCTGACCAGCCTCCTTTCTTGCCGGAAGGTAACCATGAAAGTATGGCACATTTCAATTGTTGTTTTTCTGTGTGAGAAAAGGGTGGGATATGTTTCATTAGAAAACCAAAAAGCTACACAGCAGTTCATTGTGTGACTCTTGGGCCTAATTAAGGAGAAAGAATGGCATGCTGGTTATTTTAAAAGTTGCTAAATAGAAATACTGATGAAAAGTGTATTTTATTTTTTTTATTCTTGCTCAGATGTGAAGCCAAAGGTAGAAGAGTTGGATAAAGAGTTAGTACATCGCTATTCACAAAATGGAAACCTGGACTTTTCTACCAACCAAACTGTTAATGAAATGGAAGATGAAGAAGAGGATGAAGACATGTCAGATTCAAGCAGTCCACCAATCCCGTATTCACAAAAACCTGCCCCGGAAGGGTCTTGCACTACTGATGGTTGGTGTCCGTTCTCTTACATGTGTGATCATTACAACTAAGTATCAGTATAATGCATAGTCTCTACAGTTAGAAACTCTTGAGCTAGGAAGTCTGGAAATGCAGTTTATAGCCAAAGCCTTAAATCTGAGAAAATATGGAATAAGAAAACTTGTTTCAGGACATAAAATGTAATGCAATATTTGAAAGCAGAGTCTAAGACTTGCAGTGACACTTCATTAGTTTCTTAAAGCTCCCGGTTATCTTTGGTCATAATTGGTTTACTGTCCTCAAAGAAGTTGCTTAAGTCAGCATCAGTATGGCTGGTTCTCAATCTATCCCTAAATTATTCTTAGAAACATTGGCAAAGCTGGATTTAGTTGCTTCCATGAGCAGAAGGAAGAGTTCGGAGAGAGAAAATGGAGAAAAGACTTGGTGTTCCTTCTGCTCCCAAGAGGATAAGAGGGATGGTAGTGGAAGCTTGTCTGCTTTTTTCTTTGCCAACTGCCTGCTGGCCATTGCTAGTTTACCCTGAGCTATCCTGGCTGTTGTTTCAGATAAGCAAAGTTTTTGACAGTACTGTTTTTGTTTGGTTTTTAAATGTGTTAAAGAAAGGGTCAGATCATTATGAATATAACTATTAGACCAAGTAAACTTGATGTAACTGGCGTATCTGATCTCATAATTGTGCTATTCTGAAGACTTAACTTCATTAAAGAAGGAAGATCTATTCATATTTATTAGATATGCTTCTCTTAAAAACAACTGCCACACCCCTCAAGGCCTTGGAAACAAACAACCCTTCCTACCAGGTCCAAAACGCATTCTTGACATTTTATTCAGTATCTTCCTGAATTATGGGCTTCCTTGTGCAGAGGTCATAAAAAGTTGTAATTTGTAGAATGGTTTTGTACCTTGTTATAGTGTATAGTTATTTGCGGTGGTAGAAGTAAATACTACTGACTGGTAATCCTTTGATATTTTGGAGGGATAATTGGTGGCAAATGTTGATGTTTTTGCCTTTACCCCTTCTGAACACAGCTCATATAAGCACGTTTACTCTCCATAGCAATGTACCTCCAGTTCTCTGTAATACAAAGAATAGAAAGGCTGACTGCTATGGGAAGATGGGGAATATTCTTGGGAGAATTTGTTATTCACACAGAATTGTGATTGCTCTCCTTTGGAGGCTTGTAAATTGGTAGGAGCAGAGAAGGAGAAAGTATAAAGCAATGTATTCCTAGGAAGGTATTCTAAATTGAGGACAAGTATCAGTAAAGGTTGTAAAATCTCCTGTGGAGAGCAGGAACAGTTCTGATCACTTTTATTAAAGAAATGTAAAATAAACTGTGTGGGATGCAGAGTAGAACCAAGAGGATAGTAAGAGGAAGGAGTTCTATCTGAGGCGGCTCTTTGCCTACCAGGAGGAAAGCTGAGATGGCGTATGCTTACACCTTGTAAATCACAGAATCATAGAATCATTAAGATTGG